GTATATAAATGTATATATATATACATATATATATTGTGGTGTTTGAATGAACTCATGATTCCTTTGTACTTGTGGAATGCTTGATTTCGAATTATAAATACAGTACATTGGTTTGTGCTTATCTATCACTTCTTGATCCGATTACGTTATTTCTGGGATTCTTAGTTCATACTATAATTCAAGTACTCCTAATCATCATAATATATATATCCATCCATAATATTATATTTGTTTATATGACTGTTCTGTATGATTATGATTATGATTGACACTTTAAAAGAGTTAAATTCTTATGGAGCTTTAGTGAATGAGAGCACACAAGTGGGGATAATCGAATGTATTCGAATATAAAATTATAGAATTACTTAGTAAAATCTGAAAAGCATATAGTAAATACTTCATTTGCAAAATGTCTATTAATTGTCTCAGATTTTGTTGTTTCTTCGTTTCCATACCAATTGCTTTCTGTTCTTGCTCTTTTTTTCTCGATCTTCTGCTGACAGACAGACTATTCCTGATTAAGGTGTAGTGTGGAGTCGAGTCGAGATTGACTATGAACACCACTACAGGAAGACTACGTGCCAGTGAACCGATAAAATCCCCAGTAAGCCAAATATCAGAAGGCAGTTGATGGCTGTAATCGAAATGTATTTGTTGGTGATCTCGTAGTATCAAAAGAACACCGAGATCGTGCCAAAGGAGTGCAAGTATGGCTACTGAGTGCGACCGAATCCGTGCAAGGACACAACCCTACCAAAAATACGATAACCAGAAGATACGATTTAAACAATTTAAAATCCGCTCTGAGAGTTGAAGAGTCTTCATTCAGAACAATTATTACGCCTTATGATGAAAGTTAAGATTCTTCGAGAGTTACAAGGCTGATGTTCATTCTAGGAATCAGTGCAACAATTATTGTAGGTAAGTGGAATGTCCGGATAATTTGAGAGACTGGGAGAACCGAACAAACAAGTGTGGAAATAAGGAGATACAACTTGCGGTGTTCTTAATAAATAAAACTCATTGGGTCCCAGCTGAATAGGAAAAGGTAAATTCCAGAAAGACACCAACGTACTCTGTTGATGATGAAAAAGTTGCTACACACGTACATAGAGTTCCATTGATGCTATCTAAAGGAGCACAAAAAGCACCCGTAGGATGGGAATTTAATGGATTCAGGACCATCAAAGTATTCTTCAACACAAAGAAGGAGAGGATTACAATGAATGTTATTCAAAGTTACCACCCACCAATGAAGGCAACGAAGATGATAATGATCAGTTTTATGAGGTGGTAAAGTCGGTCGTACAGAAGTGCATGGGGAAGAGCCTGACGATCCTGATGGAAGGTTTAAAAGTCAAAGTCAAAATGGACAACAACGGTTATACAGATATTACTGGACGACATGTACTGCGTCTGATTATGGAAAAGAAAACAGAAGATATGACAGAATGAATTCGGTCAGCATTCCACGTATCACATTAGGTAAACTTCGACTAAAACGTCCTACCCGAGCACGACGTTGAAACCTATTTAGTGAAGGGTTCCAAGCGGAAACCTTAATTTTATTTTAGAGTAGGCCATAAATATAGAAGTGAGTTCAATCAACATCTTATCATAACATCAACATTACACTTTACGGGGAGATTCATGACAAATCACTAAAAAAAGAGCTTACATGTAAGGACGATAAAGGTAAATCCCACCTCGAACGACCTTTGATCCAACGTGACCACGACTTCCTCATTGGGTAGATTTAAGGGTGGATTCGACAACACGTGTTTTATGGACTGGAAATGTTGTGTTGGCGTGATTTGCACTCGTCAAAATTTCAGTTTCCAGATACAACAAAATATTATTTTTCATTCAAAGAAACTATCTTGGGCCTAATGTTCGATAGGTTATTCTTCCTTTGAGTTATATTTGGATTAATGTTGAACTAAGGTTTTGCCTCAAATTACCATGCAGTGTTCGCAGCTTTTCACAATAAAACCCTATTTCTAGTACTTCTTGAGCGTGAAAGACACCAGTTTTTGTCCATATTGGTTACTTTTCTTCCCACTTGTAAACTTTCTATCCTATTTCTATATACAATTTTACTAGCAGGTTTTACTTAACCGTGATCACCAAAAGCACATGTAAGCGTCCAAGCTCCCGGCTTTCTATTAACTACATTATGCAGTGTGGGAAAGTCAAAGTTTGCATAATGAAAAAAGCATATATGTCGCTACAACTACTTGAAACAGATTCAGTAATTCAGATTGAGATCGGTCGGGTGGGACGCGTCTGAGTAGCTAGCTTATCTGTTGTTGTGTCACAGGGTCTTCGTCGCGTTATCAGACTAGGTGAACTCTTATTCTCTTTAAACACAGCAGTGATATACTAGAACCCATATGAATCCCGACGGGCTACACCATGTCGACTGTCAAGGGTAAAACTGCATGGAAAGGCCTTGGGTCAACCATTCCGAAAACCCTGTCTAAGTAGGTTCTTGATCCACTCCACAGATCAAGGACACGCACGCGTTTAAGATCGAAAGCATCAAATGTGTATATATTGGCTCTTCCAATTTATGGAACAAAGTGGATGAGTTTTATGAACTATGTATTGTAAATAATACTCTTTTGATAATAATATCCTGAAAATGGTAACCTCGAATCACGGACAAAGCACTAATATTAGTTGGAAGGTCTTCGTTTCACAATAGCAAAGGGAAACTGGAATGGGACGTAGTGTTGTGCAGTACATACTTTACTGCATTGTGGCACATTTAAACAGTAAAACCATAACGTACGACCCACAATGACAAGGGCGTCACTTGTAGCTCAGTAGGTGTCTCAGTGATGATCATAAGCACGCGACCGGTGTTTCAGAAACTTCAGCGATCAAACAAGGGTACATCTTTTGGCCCGGACATACTTCACTCGCTCATGCTAAAAGATACGTCTTCAAACTTAGCAACACTTTATAGAGCAATGCTTTCACATTCGCCGAGCTAGGGAGTGATTTCGGATCATTAGGAGCCAACAATCATTGAAATAACTGTAAAAGGAGCCAACACTAAACTAACATCAGATGGTGTTCCTTACAATACTCTCATGGGTTATGGAATCCCTGTTACGTGCTGACAGATGTTACTAACAATTATCTGTATGTTTCCCGTCACCCAGCAAGGTTTCAGGAAGTGTCATTCCTGCATTGCCAGTCTTATAGCTAAGGTAGACAGATGGGACACCGTTTTCGACTGCAAGGGGAAGATGGATGTGTTATACACCAATTTCTCAGACGTTTTTGATATGTTCTATCATAGATGTCTTATCGATAAGCTCAAGCTGATAGGAATCAAATAACCACTGATAAACTGACCTAAGTTAAACTTAGGTAGTCAACGTTTTAAGGTTCATATAAACTGCACATTGTTTCAGTCTACGTAATATCTCGCCGGAGTCCCCCAGTGTTCAGTGCTAGGACCTCTTCTCTTATTTGCCTAAACAAATAGTTTTTTCTTAGCAAGTATTCGCCGGGTTATTACTTCTGATCGATGAAGTCAAACCTCGGAAGGAAGTTTGCAACCGGGACATTGAGTTAGGACTTCAGGAGGACCTAACTGAACTTCAAAGCTAGGCGAATCGCAACTGACCTACTTTCAATACTACATTGTAAAGTGGTTCATGTGAGGCATGTTATGAAGTACAAATACGGCTTTGTTAAGTCCTCTGTAGAAGCACCTCGGGCTAAAAAACATCATAGAGTTTTGACACCCTGAAATTCAAAGTCTTCTGCTAACTGTGATAGAAAGCCTCTAGAACCAACTTCAGACTGACAACTATGAAACTCATTTTCGTCCATTTTCACAATGAAACTTTCCATCTGATATTATTTTCCCCTTCGCTTCATAAGAACAAGGATACTCTGGCACATACCTAAAGGCGATGCCTGAAATTTTCTGCCGACCGAAGCAGTTCGAGCAACTCCATTGTAGTCCTTCAAGAAGGAACTTGACATATTCTTGAGGACTTTGGATATCATTTCACCATAGCTTGCTAATATTTCTCTTTACTTTACCAAGCAAATTCAGGTTCCAAACTAGAAGGCAGGTTGTCATCTGAAACTAGATGCAGAAGATCACCAAGCCAGAGCTTCTTCTCTTCCTTCCACAACCATTTGAACCATTTGAACCACTTGAACCACGTACGTACCCACGGCTTGCCGTCTCTCGAATACCTGTAATAGGTGCATTTTTTGTAAATTTCCATTACCACTACCATCATTCTTATTATTGCCGGCCTAGCTCTGCTCACCCCACCATTTGTAACCTACGACTGTCTGTTATTCTTAGATTTCTTTCTGTTCACATTGCTTGCATAAACTGTCCATATATCACTCCAGACAGTTATTTTCCCCTTCCTCCTCGATATTCTGGATTCATCACCTTTTACTGTGCAACTAACTAATCTCCCGTTTGACAATATGATAGCTGTAGATCCTAGCGATCCTACAGCCCCAGAACAAGCACATTTATTTATACTCAAGGAATATGAACTTCCAAATAACAACAGAATTCACAGAAGCTAGTGAAATCGAATGTCGAGACTGCCCATATTCGAAGTTAATTAGGACCATGCACAGTACCATAACATTTATTTATTCCTCGGAACAATCGTCTTCTTCTGGCACATAAACTTTGATTTTATTAGTCTTCAGATTGTAATTAACCAATCTCCTGCCTGGTAATATGATAGCTTCTGGTAACCAGAAACTCAGTACTTTGAGACAAACGCACATGAATTATGAGATGGATGGGCCTATAAATAACTGCTAAACCGACTAGAATTAGTCCAATCGAGTGGTTAGACTACTCTACCCATTGGACATTTTCAAACACCTAGCAATGTGCAGACAAGAAACAAGCGCGTGACAAAGATATTGGATATTGGAAATGGGTCGTTTGTATGGTACGTTGCATCTTGCAAATTTAGTGCACTATCCTCCTTCACTGCATTTGAGGTTCATTAATTCTTTGGTCAATCCTAATTTAGGCTCAGTAATATCTTGCACTTGGTATTGTTTTCTCAGCTTAGTGAAGTAGCAGTGGTTTTTATTAATCGTGATTTGTAAAACTTCAGATCTTGTCTATAATATCCATTCCAGTTGGCGACAGTTGGCCTAAATTATATGGAGGACTTTGGTCAATTCATAAATATCTTTGCAAGCTCACAACCACTCGTCCGGTTCAAAACCAGGTTAGGGATTATGATTGATAGTTAGCTAATCCCAGGGTCTGGCTGACACTGGTAATGGTTTCCAAAGCTAAGGTGACACTAAATAAGCTATTTGTTAGCGAAAAGTGTTGGTTTACCTAGTTGTTCCCTTATATTCACATCTGTTGACGTTTAAGTTGCACAGGTTATGAATTCCCAGTTTATGGAAAGATCACTTACGACAATATCGAATCTGCTATCTCTCCTACTGATTTTCTAGTCATGCTCTGAGAACTTATAAACAAAATGAAGTTTGGACTTGCGACTCATCATTAACAGATACTTCATGCCATTTTAGTAAAGGTCACTATCCGTCTTTATTATTACACTAAACTATGCTATCCCAAACAACCAAAAAGGAAATAAAGCAGACGGAGGCGTAAATAAAGGGAAAATGTCGCTTTTTCGCCTTCACGTTAGTTATTTAGGGGAAATGTCGCTTTCCCCCTCTTACGTCGTGTATTTGGGAGAAATTTGTCGACAATTAGACGCTACGTACAGTGTTTGAATAAACCGCATTCAGAACTTAAGTTTTCATACACGTCGACAAATTAAGGCACCGCTTAACAAAAAAACAATACTATTGTCATAAGAACGAGGTATAAAATACTGAACCAGGCATAGCCAGCTGCCTATGATTTTCATGACTTTTCATCTTCGTTTCCCCTCGTATCATTCACCTTTAAGGATTTAAATTAAATCCATAAAATATTACTAAGACATATGGAGTTTTGACTGAATAAGAGTATGGACGGATCCATAAAAAATAACCGATTTCTGAAACACCAGAAATAGATAGAAACAGCATCAATTTCAAAAATAGTGAACCCTTTTACTAGTAATATTTTCGGGATTTTCATTAATTCAGAAAAAGGTATACTTCTCAATTCACATTATTTTTTACCATTATTCTCACAATTACCCTGGAGGAATTTTGCACAGTATATATTATTTTCATGTGACTTATTATCATTAATATTGTGATTACCATTCTTGATACCACTTTAATTAACCCAACGCTATTCTACATTATGTTCACAGGGTTCGTTGCATTATATTGACCATAAACCAACACCTTTTAGCCGATCTTCTTACCCTTTTTTTAAATGACCTATAAGACTTACAAATGACATTCTAGACATGCTTAAGTCGTGATCGATGTAAAAGTTCACCATTTTAGCGTAGAACATTATTTCATGCAGTCACAACTGATACGTACATGTCTTATTTCAATCACCGTAATATAGCATTTATGGATCTATAACTGTACAGTTTGACGAAATTACTGAAAACAACTTTTACCTCAAACATTCTTTGTTTTCAATACTCTGTGGGGACTTTTGAACCCATACAAATTGTTAAAGTATGTTTCATTTGTGAATGGATCATGTATCGTTAATTATTCAACAACTGTCAATTTTGATTGGTGTTCTGTGTTTTAATATCCCTCTGAACTATCAATTACGTTGTAACTTATCACTTGCAATTTTTATCATTTTATTTATAGAAGCATGCTTCAGAAACATTCCAATCCACCTCTTGGTTTAGAACGGATTCATCGATATTTTTGTTACGTTTGTGGAACTCTTCTTCCACACAAGTTGGAAGTTCATGATTTATTAGTATGCCGAAAATGTAAAACATCTACGTGTATGCATTGGTTCAGTAATATGGATGCAACTTTCAATACTGAAGCTAAATCTGGCAAAATAAACCAATTTAATGATGATGAGTATGAATCCACATCTTTATTCTTTCCATCAATGATTAGAGGGGCTAAAAAGATCTTAAGATCAGAAATTGCTTTAAAGGAGGCTTTGGAGTCACAATTTGAAAACGGTACATCACAGCCAACATTTGATGGACCAACTATTAGAAAAGAATGTGCTTATTGCGGCAATGATAGAATGACTTATGTTACACTTCAAACTCGTTCAGCAGATGAAGGACAAACTGTAATATATACTTGTACCCAATGTTCTAAAAAAGAAATTGAAAATACTTGATTAAGTGTTTTGATTTTACCCATTAGTATTCATATTAGTTTAGTTTTGTCGGCTAAATCTTAAGGTTAGTACTTTTATCATGACCCACTAATACGTTTAAAATACAAAGTTGAACACAAACACCTCTTGCTAAATAATTTATTATCAAACTGTACGAATTTTTTTTTTGCGAATGAAAATTTGAGGCTGTATTCCTTGAGGAAATCTAAGTACTGAATAAACACAATGTCATAGAAAAATAATCGTATTACTGAGCTATTAATTATACGTGATAACAACACAAGGTTGGATAACTTCTTCAGGATGTGTAAACAGAAAAGGGGTATCAAACTAAAATTTAATATTAGATTAGGTTATGGATGGATTAAGGTAGTTAAATGTGTCAGAGTGCTTAAATGAAATGATATTGGAAACAATTACAAGCGTAAATCGGGGAGTTGTAAAAACGTTTAAGCAGAAGGACTCATTTACAAACACAAAAAGTATGTGAGAAAACAATAATGATGGTGATAATAGATAAGATAAAGATAGGATACACTTCTCTTGTGAACAGTGGATAGCTAAAGCTGGTGTTTTACAGAGTTGACGATGAAATGTGCATAGATTCATATGAATTATGTAAATAACCTCAAAATTAACTTGTGAGTTAGTCGAATGAACGCAGTCAATTAGATGTCCAAGGATAGAACTAGCTGCTTTCATCTCACTGTCGTAAAACTAGGCTGCAATAGGTTCTCATATATATGTTGAAAGTGAGCTCTGTCTTTGGTCTATATGGTTTGCGTGATAAGAGTAGGTGAACCGGTAGATGGTGGAGAAGATTTGTAGCTCAGGTGGATGATTTTGGTGGAGTTTTGTTCTCTGAGCTGGATGGTGTGCTCAGAGAACAAAACTCCACCAAAAAAAAACGAACCGGTAGATTCACACAGAGGGCGCCCTATCTCTCACAGATACGCAGAGCTTTTTTGTTAGTAAGATTTGATTGTAGTTTTACTGAGTAAATTGTTTCATCCCTGCCATCGAGTCGCTCGGTCATTAATTAAAATATTAAGATAAGATGAAATGCAATTAATTATACCAATATATTGGTAGTATAGTTCAGTTGGTTGAAAGTTGATACTTCTGGGGACATTGTATTCTCACTTGATGTTCTTAGTTCACCAGTGTATTTCTAACATAATTTATGTTAAATCTGTAACTAAGTTGTGTCACACGTCAAAGATATTGGTTTGCTTACTATTTGGCCACATGGACTGTTATCACGCTGCAATTTGAACTTTCAGTTTATTTATGGTCTAGAAATCTGCAAATAAAAGGTCGAAATCATCTTAGGTGCTTTTTTCACAGATTGCTTCATACCTAAGTTTGAAAACCCCGGCATAATGTAGTCATTAGACGTCTCAACTTCTACGGAAAACATAAAACTATCATATTTATAAATTTCTATGAAGAAGTTGGCCTCATTAACGGTTAACATCCTTTCAATGCTTGTAAATCACGATAAGGAATTAGATCTACCTATCTCATTTCTCGATGTGCTAACTTATTCACAAATATCTTGTGGAAGTTGCTCAAACTTGTATTGTTATCCCTTACAATAAATTATAATATTAAAGTTTTATTTTTGTTATATCATCTTGTTCATCATAAAATGAAGTCTCAATTTCATGTAAATACGGTTGTACAGCTTGATAACAAGTTATTTGTTTCACTTCGTACTTATCTAATGTACGTATGAGTTTGATAATTCCTCGTAAAATACTCTTTATCACACTTATAATTCCTGTCATTGGGACGCAACCCTAAATAAATTCAAACACGTGTAACCCTTCAGTAAATTAGTATATAGAGCAGAGTTCGAGTGTTTGCGTATTCTTAAGTGTTCATACCCAATTTCTAACTAGTAAACTCTTAATTAAAGATATCACTGTGTCCGAGGAACTATGTCAGTCCTGTGATCTGTTATGACGAGTTGAGTATCGGACAAGTTGTAACTTTTGGGACTATCTTTCGGATTATCATTATTTATATTTCTACTGTATAGTTAAATAATAAATACTCGTACCATTGTATTTATATGTTATCACTGTAAGCTTCCAGTTGACCCATTAACTGTCTTTAGATGTTTTACTATCATTTAATTATTGGTAACTGTTCTCTTCACTCCCTACCACGTGCGGCCTAATTGTATTTGAAGTATGATTTATTATTTGGTGTTCTGTACAGTCTAATCTGTGTATATAAGTTAATAGGTGTTTGAGGTAGTTGTTGGCTGAGCTGGGTAATTGAAATATACCTATAGTAGGACCCGGCTGCTAATTTCCCTTCGGACTCAATGCAGAGGACAGAACAAAAACTTTTGGATAACAAATCAATAAAAGTGTAGCTTGAAATGGCTCAAGGTTAACTGCGCAAGTCAAAACGTATAGTTGGTCAGCTCTGCGATTTTAGATTTTAATCAGAATAGTAAACTAGAGAGAGAAAAATATATATTGTAATCAGGATTTTGACTGGTAACTTTAGCACATGATACCGATTAGTGTCTCAAGTCATGACAAAATTGTTGACAGGAATTTCGAGCAGAGAGAGCGAAAAGAATTAATAGCAATAGATTAAATTTCTGATATTGGGCACCAAGGAATTATAGTTAATGAAGCAGTAAGAAGGAGAATAATCCTGCATTCAGTAGATAGTTTTAATGAATAAAGAGATTTGAAACGACTATTTTGAATTCGCTTCAGTTCCATGAGAATTTAAGAAAAGTTCAGCAGAAGAAAGTGATCTCTATTACCGTAGAGAGGATGTATATATTGTTACAGAAGTAAGAGATGTTCATTAAGCATCATTTGAAATTTACAGAAAAGCTCAATTCAAGGTTGATGAAACCTTCAATTTCTTTAATAATGGTGAAAATTGATAAAGAAATTTATCAATTTCGTACAAATGTCCCCATAATAAATAGATACATGCGTTAATAGCTGCAGTAGTTTAACTGATTTAATAGTCATATCTAATCCTTCCAGTGATTCGGTAGAGGCTGTTTCAGAAACGAATCCTAGAGGGAGTTCAAATCTCGTTATGTCTGAGACAGAATGTACAACTACTGAGTTGTCAAGTGCAAACCAGGAACATCATTTATAAGTTTCCGTTCAAAACAGATATATATATATATATATGATAGATTTCTGCTTCTACGCCTTCGGGAGTTATTTATTTAATTAAATAAATAAAAACTGGTACAAAAGAGCACCGAATATATACGCAACACACAAGTCATTTGATATAATTTACGGGTGCCCAGACCGTAGCAGGTGATTTTCTTAGGGAGCCACACCCGGAGCCTTCAACCTGAAGTTCTGATCCACAAGACAGTGGAGCAACGTTAGGGGATGCAGTCCAACGGTAGCCGTTCACCAATAATAGGTTCATACACTATTTGTCCCTTCAGGATCCTGGAGCTCATATGCATCATTGGTTTGGAATCAGAGTTTCCTAACTAACTCCTCTATGTTGATCCTCCATATCCACCAAGCCGGTTAAAGTGCCAGATATTCACTTATCGTCCTGTCAATTTCGTAAACGACACCCTCAACGCGTTAAGGTAATGATTAGGACTTCCCTGACAGTGACTGTATACGAGTGGTTATATGAAAGCATTTCGAGAGGGAGAGCTGACTCTTCCCACCCTCAACCGTACCAGGAGTATTCGGGTACTGATAGTTCCATACCTAAAAATGTAACTCATAAACTAAAAATTGATAGAATAATTAAAATGTACTTCATAATTTATGAAAACCAAGTAAGAAAAAAACAAAATTCCTATACAAATTGAATAGAATTAAACAAATGTTTTCCTTTCATAAATAAACAAACATGGATGAATATTAATATGAATTATATTCCAAAAATACCAGCTTGGATAAAACTGTATCCTATGGAAACAATCAATTTGAAGAATTTGTTTGAAAGATGACAATTCCCGATTGATTATTTCTATTGATAGTTCTGATATAAGATGTGTAAAATTTGAAGAGTTTAATACATTAAAATTAGTTTCTAAACCTTCTGTTTTATTGTAACTAAAGAAAAAAAAAAAGAGAATAGATTCAATGAATGGAAAAGTGTTATATCCGAGAGAAGATTAAATCACGAGTAACTTCTGAGATATTATGTTTTTGATGGAAATCATGAGTGAATTGAAGCTAGACCATCATGGAAAACCTGAAAGCACTGAATGGCCGTTTCATCCTAGTATGGGACTCCTCGGCAGTGCACATCTACGATCCCACACCCAGCGAGATTCGAACTCAGAACCTATCAGTCTTGCGCCAGGCGCTTAACTAATTAGACCACTGTATATTTATATTCCTCTTATTATAAGCTTCATTTTGACCTATATATTATTATTGTACGATTTACTGTTCTTCAGCTGTGTTCAGTTTATTGACTACTGCCTCCCATGTTCACAGCCACTTTTTGGCTTTATTGTGTACAAATATTATTTCTTATTTTATGGTGCGTTGCGATCTGTTTGACTGATATATAAACACAGTATGTTTGAAATAAATGATTCGATTCGATTCGCATATTGGAAGCTGGTATTTGATGTTCTGGACTCAAATGGACGGGCTAGACGGACATAGGACCAATAAGGACGTTAGGCTGCTCATACCGGTCGAACATCATTGGTTTGGCACAGTGCTAAGATTGTATAAGTTATATTTTGATTGATGGGTAAATCATGTGATAAAAAGCCGGACATAAAGTCATAACAAAAAGGAGATGTGATTTAGAATAATAAGATTAATATTAATAAAATCTATCTTATTCTATTGCATTCTAAACAGTACTCATCATTATAGAATGATAAACCACTAGAGTAAGTTACTTATTTTGTTGCAAGTCATAGATAAACTGAATAAATCCCAAAATAAGAAACTATAATTCTAAGGAAAGATAGATAATAGTCTAGCAGTGAAATCTAGTTTGCCGCACGACAT